TGACAGAAGAGAAAATTAAAGTTCAGTGTTGAAATGAATTTATAAAAAAGAAATTAAAGTCCAATGTTGAATTCATGTGACATGAAACAAACTTGTAAAGTGTAGAAAACTCTGTGCTCAGCCCACCGTGCACCCCCACTCAGGTGTGCACTCACTAGAAATTGCCTTTTTTAACACGTAATCAAGAGGATATCCATTAATTAGACCAGGAGGTTCCTCCAAGAATCACCCGTCTAAGATTGGTTGCCAGGATAATTGAAAAACTCCAAACATTAAAAACTTTTACAAGCCCAAATAATACATCCTAGTGTCACGCAGGATACCGCATGGTGCTCTCACCACCTCTGGAACTGTCGGACAGAACGCCGTCGCGTCACTTCTGGTTACGGATCTACATCACTTCCGGTCTGCCTCACCATCACGCCCTGACATGTTTCGTCTTATCCTGACTTGCTCATAGGATTTTTGAAGTAGAGTATAGCGGCAGCAATATATATAATATTGTATAGAAGATAATAACTTTCTGCATCAGGCGCGAGATAGTGACGGTTGGATAATAATCTTAGGGTTGACATCTATGATTTAGACATCCAGCACATTAAATAGGCTTTAAATCTGACCATACTATGTGCCATGTGCCCGAATTTCATGGCTCGCTGTTTTTCTTTACACATCCTTCCATGTGCCCTGAATATCAACCCGCACCATGCCAGCTGCTCTTTATCCTTGGCAAAGCCGGCTGGGCTGTGTGTGTTTAACTGCTCTACATTTTTACACTTAATCCTTTATTCCCATAGTCGCTTCCTCATAATCACCCGCCACTCGCCTGAGAGCGGTCTGTGCGCTGCATCAGGACCCTGATTAATGAGGCTCCCTCCGCATTCGCCTATTAATGCCTTTTTTTGTGTGCTAATCTAATCAGGGCAGTCTCCGCGGTTAGATTCTGGACTCCCCTAGCCGGGCCTCGATCGATGCTAATCATATAACATATCGCTCGGCGCTGTTTGTCCGAGACCACGGGGGTCGAGTGTTGGGATAAAAAATGGCAGATGGTGCAGCGATTGGCCTGTGAGGTCATAGATTTGGAGGGAACAAATGAGAGAAAAACAAATACATTTAAAGGAACATTTTACTCAACATTAAAGCAGACCTATACTGTGCTAAGTAAAACTATGTTAAAGGACTTACTGAGTAAATAAAAAGTAATAAATTATCTTTTTTGAAGAAATGGTCGTTTCAGATTTGCTCCAGTTACCAAAACACTAGGTAAGTGGGCACATACTCTCTGCCATCGAGAAGGGTCAGTTCATGAAAAACTGGTGCCTTCTAAAGATTCTGTTGTTCATCTACAGTACCTGTAGATTGCCAAGACTTTGCTGGCATTATGTCAACTGTCCTGAGACTGTCATACAATTCTGCCTCTACACTGCCTTCCCTGACCTGCTCCCATTCTATGATTCTGGCTGAACACTGCCTGCCCTAACCTGAGCCTGTCCTATGATTCTGCCTGAACACCTCCTGTCCTAACTTCAGCCTGTCCTATGATTCTGCCTGAACACGACCTGCCTGTCCTATGATTCTGGCTGAACACTGCCTGCCCTAACCTGAGCCTATCCTATGATTGTGCCTGAACATCGCCTGCCCTGACCTGAGCCTGTCCTACGATTCTACATGAACACACCCTGCCCTGAATCTGTCCTACAGTTCCACCTAAATACCACCTCCCCTAACCTACTCCTATCCTATGATTCTGCCTGAGCACCACCTGCCCTGACCTGAGCCTGTCCTATGATTCTGCCTGAACATCACCTGCCCTAACCTGAGCCTGTCCTATGATTCTGCCTGAATACCTCTGTCCTAACTTCAGCCTGTCATACAATTCTGCCTGTACACTGCCTTCCCTGACCTGCTCCCATTCTATGATTCTGCCTGAACATCACCTGCCCTAACCTGAGCCTGTCCTATAATTCCACCCAGAATACCACCTACCCTGACCTACTCTTATCCCATGATCCTGCTTGAACACCACTTGCCCTGACCTAAGCCTGTCCTGTGATTCTGACTGAACACCACTTGTCCTAACTTGAGCCTGTTCTATGATTTTGACTGAACACCACCTGTCCTAACCTGAGCCTGTCCTATGATTCTGATTGAACACCACCTGTCCTAACCTGAGCCTGTCCTATGATTCTGTCTGAATACCTCCTGCCCCGACCTGAGCCTGTCCTACAATTCCACCTGAATACCCACCTACCCTGACCTACTCCTATCCCATGATGCTGCCTGAACACCACTTGCCCTGACCTGAGCCTGTCCAATTATTCTGCCTGAACATCGCCTGCCCTGACCTGAGCCTGTCCTACAATTCTACATGAACAGACCCTGCCCTGACTTGAGCCTGTTACACAGTTCCACCTAAATACCACCTACCCTGAACACCACCTGCCCTGACCTGAGCTTATCCTATCATTCTGCCTGAACATCGCCTGCCCTGACCTACAATGCTGTCTCAACACCACCTGCCCTGCCCTGAACCTGTCCTATGATTCTGTCTGAACATGGCCTGCCCTGACCTGAGCCTGTCCTATGATTCTACCTGGACACTACCTGCTCTGACCTGAGCCTGTCCTACGATTCTGTCTGAACACCTCCTGCCCTGACCTGAGCCTGTCCTATGATTCTGCCTGAACATCACCTGCCCTAACCTAAGCCTGTCCTACAATTCCACCTGTATACCATCTACCCTGATCTACTCCTATCCCGTGATGCTGCCTGAACACCACTTGCCCTTACCGGAGCCCATCCTATGATTCTGCCTGAACATCACCTGCCCTGACCTGAGACTGTCCTACGATTCTACATGAACACACCCTGCCCTGAATCTGTCCTACAGTTCCACCTAAATACCACCTCCCCTAATCTACTCCTATCCTATGATTCTGCCTGAACACCACCTGCCCTGACCTGAGCCTGTCCTATAATTCTGCCTGAACATCACCTGCCCTGACCTGAGCCTGTCCTACAATTCTGTCTCAACACCATCTGCCCTGACCTGAGCCTGTCCTATGATTCTGTCTGAACATGGCCTGCCCTGACCTGAGCCTGTCCTATGATTCTACCTGGACACTGTCTGCTCTGACCTGAGCCTGTCCTACGATTCTGCTTGAACACCACCTACCCTGACTGATCCTGTCCTATGATTTCACCTGAACACCATCTGTCCTAAACATTGCCCGTCTAACATTTCATCCTGAACACCATCTACCCTACCTGAGCCTGAACATCCCCTGTCTTGACTGGAACCTGACCTACACTATATTGCCAAAAGTATTGGGCGACCTGCTTTTCCACGCACATAAACTTTAATGGCATTCCAGTCCGTAGTGTTCAATATTGAGTTGGCCCCGCCCTTTCCACACACATGACCTTTAATGGCCTCCCAGTCTTAGTTCGTAGGGTTCAATATTGAGTTGGCCCCGCCCCTTTGCAGCTATAACAGCTTTAACTCTTCTGGGAAGGCCATCCACAAGGTTTAGGAGGGTGTCTATGGGAAGGTTGGACCATTCTTCCAGAAGCACATTTGTCAGGTCAGGCACTGATGTCGGGGGAGGAGGCCTGGCTCACAGTCTCTGCTCTAATTCATCCCAAAGGTGTTCTATGGGGTTGAGGTCAGGACTCTGTGCAGGCCAGTCAAGTTCCTCCACCCCAAACTGGCTCCTCCATGTCTTTATGGACCTTGCTTTTTGCACTGGTGGGCAGTCATGTTGGAACAGGAAGGGGCCAATCCCAAACTCTTCCCACAAAGTTGGGAGCATGAAATTGTCTAAAATGTCTTGGTATGCTTATGCCTTAAGAGTTCCCTTCATTGGAACTAGGGGGCCAAGCCCAACCCCAGAACAACCCCACACCATAATCCTCCCTCCACCAAACTTTACACTTGGCACAATGCAGTCCAGTAAGTATAGTTCTCCTGGCAACCACCAAACCCAGACACGTACATCGGATTGCCATACAGAGAAGAATGATTGGTCACCCCAGAGAACACGTCTCCACTGCTCTAGAGTCTAGTGGCAGCGTGCTTTACACCACGGCATCCGACGTTTTGCATTGCACTTGGTGATGTAAGGCTTGAATGCAGCTGCTCGGCCATGGAAACCCATTCCATGAAGCTCTCTACGCACTGTTGTTGTGCTAATCTGAAGGCCTCGCCAAGTTTGGAGGTCTTTAGCTATTGACTCTGCAGACAGTTGGCGACTTCTGCGCACTGTGCGCTTCAGCATGCGCTGACCCCACCCTGTCATGTGACGTGGCCTACCACTTGGTGGCTGAGTGGCTGTTCTTCCCAGTTGCTTCCACTTTGTTATAATCCCACTAACAGTTGAGCGTGGAATATTTAGTAGCCGGGAAATGTCACGGATGGACTTATTGCCCAGGCGGCCACCTATCACGGGACCACGCTTGGAGTCACTGAGCTCCTGAGAGCGACCCATTCTTTCACCAATGTTTGTAGAAGCAGTCTGCATGCCTAGGGGCTTGATTGTATACACCTGTGGCCATGGAGGTGATTGGAACACTTGAATCCAATGATTTGGAGGGCGGGGCCAATACTTTTGGCAATATAGTGTATGTTTCTATTTAAACAATACCTGCCCCATCCTGAGCGCGTACTATGATTCTGCTGAACAATAACTGCCCTGACCGAGGTGGTTTTAGGATTCTGTCCGAACACCACTTTTTCTGATCTGGTCTCATCCTATGGTTTTGCCTGAACTCTGCCTGCCCTGACCTGACCCCATCCTTCAATTCAGCCGGAACACTGCCTACCCTGACCTAACCCTGTCCTTCAGTTCTAACTGAATACTGCCTACCCTGACCTGAGCCTATCTTACAGTTCTACCTGAAATACAGACTTTTCCCTTAATTTTTCACCATGAAAAACTCATCCTTTTGTTGTTCCCACCTCCATTGCTTTAAGTGATGCTGATTTTCTCCCCTTTCAGGCAAACAAGTTGAAGACACGTACCGTACGAAACAATCTGAACCCCACCTGGAATGAAAGCCTGACGTACTGCGGGATCACCCCAGAAGACATGGCAAAGAAGATTCTACGGTGAGCTGCCAATCAGAATCTGAGAATTTGTTACATTTGTGTCTCATTAATAATCCAATACTTTTGCTTTGTTACTTTTTCTTAGTGGCTCCCTTCCGTGCTGTTCAGATGTGTCTTTCTGTCTCCCAGCAGGAATTATTAATTTGTTTATTAATTCCTGTTCTGGGATACGACACAAGGAAAGTCTATGGATACTACAGATTCCTGTAACAGAGTCTTATTCCAGGGAAGCAGAAATAACTGAACTGATTCAAAACACAAAAGAAAACTACAACATGGAAGCTACGAGGTGAAAGAGTAAACTTAACAAGGTGGAACCTCCCTTGAAGCTTTGTCATGTGATCTATGTTTTCTCAGGATCTCTGTGTGCGATGAAGACAAACTAAGTCATAACGAGTTTATTGGAGAGACGAGAGTCCCGCTGCGCAGGCTAAAACCTGGGGAGAGGAAACACTTCAACCTCTGTCTGGAGCGTCAGATTCCTGTAAGTGAATAAGTATTGGGGCCGGTATAGGCGGGAACTGAAGATACAGATTGCTTGGGGAAGTAATCGCTGACACAGAAGAGAAAAATAGAAACATTTGTGAATCAAGCAGTACAGCCAGTCTGGTGACCAGGGGCGTCCCTATGGTCGGTGTCACCCGATGCAATAACACTTGGTGACACCCCCTCCGATGATCCCCGCAGGATGGTTCAGATCTGCAGATTGAGCATAATGGATCGGAGTCTGATCCATTACGCTCCCCAATCCACAGATCCGATCCATCCTGTGGGGATGCAACCTATACGGGGTGACACTGGACCCGCTCCACGAAAAGGTAAGTTGTAAAGTAAGCCGACAATCCCCGCAGGATGGATCAGATCTGCAGATTGGGGAGCATAATGGATCGGACTCCATTATGCTCAATCCGCAGATCCGATCCATCCTGTGGGGATCGTCGGCTTGCTTTACAATTTACCTTTTTGTGGAGCGGGTCCAGTGTCACCCCGTGCGGTAGGTATCACCCGGCGCGCACCCCCCTCACCTGCCTCAGGACGCCACTGCCGGTGACCACACTCTCTCTCTTCTGCACTCGGTCAACCAACCTTTTCATGCTGATTAGATGCTAAGTGTACTGTGGAATTTTGTAATGCTTTAGCTCTTTGGCTAACCAAGAGTGCCCTGGGAATCCTATGTCATGTTATATATATATATATCCCATACATGTACAGTATATATATAAATATTTATATGGTGTATAGTTATGTGTATTAAGGTGATTCTGTCAGTCTGAAAGAAAATTATAGATTTCAGCTCCCTGCAGCAGCACATGTAGTATACTCACCCCCCACCTTTGTTCCAAGTCTCCTGCCTTCTATCCATTCCAGCATTGCGGCCTTCATGAAAATTTTCAGAGTTCAGCATTTCTGCGTGTTTCAAATGCTTGTGTGCATCCCTTCTTCAGTTCCTACAGAACTCAGCAGTGACATAGGGCAGTGGTCTCCAAACTGCGGCCTGCTGGCTGGATGCGGTCCTTTGCTTGCCTTTATCCAACCCTTGGGATACTATTCCTCCCTCTGACACCGACATTTGGGTATTATTCCTCCTCCTGACACCAATGATGCAGCATAAATTCTCCCTGACACCATTGATGAGGCACTATTCCTTCCACTAACATCAAGAATGGAGCACTATTTCTCCCACTGACACCAATGATGGGGCACTATTCATCCCACTTACACCAACGACGGGGCATTATTTCTCCCACTGATACCAACAATGGGGCACTATTCCTCCCACTGACATAAACAATGGGGCAGTATTTATCTCACTGACACCAACAGTGGGGCACTATTCCTTCCATTGGCACCAATAATGAGGCACTATCCCTTCCACTGTCACCAACAATGGGGCACTATTCCTCCAACTGACACCAATGATGGAGTACTATACCTCCCACTGACACCAATGATGGGGCACTATTCCTCCCACTGATATCAATGATGGAACACTATTCCTTCCACTGATACCAATGATGGGGCACTATTCCTTCCTCCACTGACACCAATGATGGGAGCATTATTCCTCCCACTGACACCAATGATGGAACACTATTCCTTCCACTAACACCAATGATGGAGCACTATTCCTCCCATTGACACCAATGGTGGAGCACTATTCCTCCCACTGACACCAATGATGGAGCACTATTCCTCCCACTGACACCAGTGATGGAGCACTATTCCTCCTCCTAACCACAGGGATGCTGTCCCACTGACCACCAAGCCTGAGGCATTATCCGCTCCCACTAGTCATAGTCCGACCCCTCTAAAGTCTGAAAGTAAGTAAACTGGTCCCTTGTTTAGAAATTCTGTAGACCCTGAAGTAGGGTATCCATAGTGCACAGCAGGGACACAGGCATCTGATGTTCACGGAAATGTTAAATCCTGAAGATTCCACCAGAGGCTGCAGCACTGGAATGGAGGGAAGGTAGAAGACACCGGCTGCCGGAGCTGACATTTATGGTTTTATAACAAGCTGACAGGGTCGCTTTAAAAAAAAATTAACCAAAAACTATTACAGTGGCCCTTTAAGATCCAAACAGATTGTAAAGGCTGTCAGATTGGTGACCACGCTGGTAATGTCCTAACCCATGTTTCCTTGTAATTATTGTCCAGTAATAGCTCCTATTTCTTACAGCATTAAAGCCCCAATGATGGGACAGTTCTGAGCCCCCCGAAACATGTTAACTGTATCCTCTGACCTTTGCTCAAGATGAATATACATTTACTGGACCTGTTACAAACTTGAGGTGCTCTCATCCTTTACATTCTGTTCAAACTATTCTGGGTATCCCTAGGGGCACACTCCAGTAAAAAAGCCAATACGAAAGTAGAAGTAAGACTAGAAAGGCATTTTACCCTAGAAAGCACTTTCTCATGGAATTTGATATCCAAGATCTTTCTAGTGTGAAACGATTTGGTAGTCTTGCTTCTCTTACCATATTGGTTTTATGGACATATGGGTGAAACTCGTTGGTTGGCTTACTTTTCCTTTTGTATTGGTTTTACAAACACGTAGGTGAAGCTTGTTAATAGTCTTACTTCTCCCATTGTACTGGTTTATGGACATATGGGTAGGAACTCTTTAGTAGCCTTACTTCTCCTGTTGTATTGGTTTTAAAGACACATGGGTGAAATGCATTTGATAGTCTTACTTCTCCTGTTGTATTGGTTTTGTGAGCATATGGGTGAAACATGTTGGCTGTCTTACTTCTTCTATTAAATTGATTTTACGGACTTTTGGGTGAAAATAATTGGTAGTCTTATGTCTATTGTATTGGTTTTATGAACATATGGGTGAATCTCGTTGTTTGTCTTACTTCCTCTATTGTATTGGTTTTATGGACATATGGGAGAAACACGTTGGTTGGCTTACTTTTCGTATTGTATTGGTTTTATGAACATATGGGTGAAACTTGTTGGTAGTCCAACTTCTCCCATTGTATTGGTTTATGGACATATGGGTGAAACTCTCTGGTAGTCTTACTTCTTCAAATCTGTCATTTTTATGAACGTATAGGTGAAATTTGTTGGTAATCTTGCTTCTCCTATTATATTGGTTTTATGAACATATGGGTGAATCTCATTGTTGGTCTTACTTCCTCTTTTGTATTGGTTTTATGGACATATGGGAGAAACGCATTGGTTGGCTTTCATTTTCGTATTGTATTGCTTTTACAAACGTATGGGTGAAACTCTTTGGTAGTCTTACTTCTCCTATTGTATTGGTTTTACGGACATATGGGTAAAAATCATTGGTAGTCTTACTTCTAATCTGTTGTTTTTTATGAACGTATAGGTGAAACTTGACGGTAGTCTTACTTCTATTTTATATTTTTACATCCTTTACATTCTGTTCAAACTATTCTGCGGATCCCTAGGGGCACACTCCAGTAAAAAAGCCAATACAAAAGTAGAAGTAAGACTAGAAAGGCATTTTACCCTAGGAAGCACTTAGTCATGGAGTTTGATAATCCAAGATCTTTCTAGTGTGAAACGATTTGGTAGTCTTACTTCTCTTACCGTATTGGTTTTATGGACATATGGGTGAAACTCGTTGGTTGGCTTACTTTTCCTTTTGTATTGGTTTTACAAACACGTAAGTGAAACTTGTTGGCAGTCTTACTTCTCCCATTGTACTGGTTTACAGACATATGGGTAGGAACTCTTTAGTAGCCTTACTTCTCCTGTTGTATTGGTTTTACAGACACATGGGTGAAACTCATTTTGTAGTCTTACTTCTCCTGTTGTATTGGTTTTGTGAACATATGGGTGAAACATGTTGGCTGTCTTACTTCTATTAAATTGATTTTACAGACATATGGGTGAAACTCGCTAGTAGTCTTAGTTCTCCTATTTTATTGCTGTTACAGACTTTTGGGTGAAAATAATTGGTAGTCTTATGTCTATTGTATTGGTTTTATGAACATATGGGTGAATCTCGTTTTTAGTCTTACTTCCTCTATTGTATTGGTTTTAAGGACATATGGGAGAAACTTGTTGGTTGGCTTACTTTTCATATTGTATTGGTTTTACAAACGTATGGGTGAAACTTGTTGGTAGTCCAACTTCTCTCATTGTATTGGTTTACGGACATATGGGTGAAGTTCTTTGTTAGTCTTACTTCTCCTATTATATTGGTTTTACGGACATATGGGTGAAAATCTTTGGTAGTCTTACTTCTTCTAATCTGTTGTTTTTATGAACGTATAGGTGAAACTTGTTGGTAGTCTTGCTTCTCCCATCATATTGGTTTTACAAACATATGGGTGAAGCTCATTGTTAGTTCAACTTACTCTGTTATATTTCTTTTATGGACTTAAGGGTGAAACTCATTGGTAGTCTTACTTCTCCTATTTTATTGGTTTTATGGACTTATGGGTGAAAATTATTGGTAGTCTTATTTCTATTGTATTGGTTTTATGAACATATGGGTGAATCTCGTTGTTAGTCTTATTTCCTCTATTGTATTGGTTTTATGGACATATGGGAGAAACTCGTTGGTTGGCTTACTTTTCGTATTGTATTGGTTTTACAAACGTATGGGTGAAACTTGTTGGTAGTCCAACTTCTCCCATTGTATTGGTTTACGGACATATGGGTGAAATTCTTTGGGTAGTCTTACTTCTCCTATTGTATTGGTTTTACGGACATATGGGTGAAAATCATTGGTAGCCTTACTTCTAATTTGTCGTTTTTATGAACGTATAGGTGAAACTTGTTGGTAGTCTTACTTCTTTTATTGTATTTTTTTTCCTGGAGTATGGATAAAATTTGTTGGTAGTCTTACTTCCTCTATTGTATTGGTTTTATGGACATATGAATAAAAAATCATTTTACTCCATGGAATGTGGTCAACCACCATTTTTTTACAGTCCAAACTAGTCTTCTGTGCCTTTAAGATCCAGCCATTCATAAAAGCTAAGCTGGGATCAATGTTAA